CCCCAAAACCCCAAAACCCCAAAACCCCAAAACCCCAAAACCCCTTTTTCGAAAATACGTGTTGAAACAGAGCACAAAATACGATTAACTCAGCAGATCTAGGTAGCCCAGAACTTGTGTTGGGACTTCTCTCAGAACTTCTTCTGACAAGGCATATTTGCCTTGATGTTTGAAGTCTTGGAATTTAACGAACTGAACAATGTCTCTGTAAGGCTTCGCATAGGGGTCATTTTTATCTAAGACTCTTTGACTTTCATCATCTCCATCAAGCTCTTCCATATCACTAAAATCTTCGTCTCCAACTCCGATAATAATGATACTGATTGGGAGATTGCTTGCTTTAGCAATCAATTCTTTGGTTTCAGTCATATCATGGATTATTCCATCTGTAAGAATCAAGAAGATGTGGTATAGCTTCTGGGAAACATTCTGTTCAACATAATCAATGAATATTTTTAAGCATGGTGCAAAGTAAGTAGGACCGTAGAGCTGCACATTTTGCAAAGAGAATTTATAAGCCTCCATTAGACCAGGAAGACCTTGACATTGAGGGTTTTCATTACCATTCAGATGGAAGCAATGTGATACACTTCTTGAACCACTATACAAAGGGATCCCTCCAAACCCAAAAGCAGGGATTAGGTTGTCAGTATCGTAATTCTCGAGTACTTGGCCAACAGTCAAAATAGCTTGTTCATATTGATTCATTGACCCATTGGGATTAATATAATGAAGAGAGTCTTGAGACTGGGCTTCTCCGTTAGAAAGAGTAAAATCGACTGCACACGTGAGATTAATCTCCCAGTCAGAGTGGAGGAAATCATAGAAACTTTTAGTTTCCCGGTAATTAAAGGTATCTAATTTGAAGTAGCAATTGAGAGATTTAGAGCTGCCAACCTCTCTAATCTCGAACTCCCTTTTTCCATCCATTATTTCTTTGAGAGTTGTGTGAAATTCTCCATAAGGCTGATGATATCCAGAGGCATCAAAAGACATGATGGTGAACTTTAATGTTCAGTTTACATCGCTGTTACATAATTTTAGAGATGTAATCTTTTCGTCCCTCCATCTGGGAGAGGTAGTATTCACTTGATGCGGACTTTGATAGACTCTTATGAACTCATCTGATTCTGGGCCTTTACTTCTCTCAATGAAATAGAAAGGATCATCTCTCCCAAAGAAAACCCAATAGACTTTAGGTGGTAGTCCTGAGATACTTGCAATGTAATTCAATGAGTAATTCTCAGTTGCGACTTTTTCAGCAGAAATTATGATCTTTCCAGTTGTATTGCCATTCTTTGAAAACAAGTTTCCCTTATAGGTTTGTTTCCTACTACCCATAATTCTTCCAATAGTTGTTTCCATATCCCCGATGTGGTCTCTTGTCATCACATCAACATCATAGAGGCAGAACTTGAGCATTGTTTCACGTTCAAAGAAGTATTCGAGCTGGAAGGATTTGACAAATTTAGGATTGAGGTTGTTATTGATCTGCTCTGTTTCTCCTATCTTAACCCACTCTATATCCATAATTAGTGTCTACCTTAGACCAATCCTTAAGGATGGAATCATTCCTAAAAAGAAGATACCGAGCAGAATAATTCCAAACTATTTTATAGGACTTACCTGATCCTTCTTTTTTGTCCTTGGAATATACTTCTCAGACAGGGTCTGATTCACTGAAATAATCCATATTAGCAAGTTTCTCGCATTCGATGTGAATGCTGATGAGTTCCGTTGGCTCCAAGCCATGAGTAATAATAGGATATGCTTCCATATTAATTATTATGGGACAATTTATCTCATAATTTAAGGGGTTTTGGGGTTTTGGGGTTTTGGGGTTTTGGGG